TGCTATTTTTTGGCGATCAAATATATTTAAATATTTATCGAATAGTTTTAAATTGGGTCACAAACATAGTATAGTCATAAATAAAGTAAAAGTAGTCGTAAAGATACCTAGTATTTTAATTTGTAATATAACACATTCTTATTAACTCGATTCCTTGTCCGTCTGCTGTTCGGTGCAATTATTCAATTGAATTAAAACTAGCTTCCCGATTCCTCATAGCTCAGAACTGAATGATAGTTTAAAAACAGAAAACGCACGGACAACCAGGAGGGGGTTGTGGCAGTACTATAGTCTATACTACGAAAAATTCATACTGCGACCACTGCCTTGCAAAACGTTTGTCGGATTACCGCGGGTCAACTGTAATTATTTTTATCCTATACGGAATTGTGAAGTGCATGCAATAGAAATAGATAATATGTACATAGTAAGGATAAGGCGTATAGGAACGGGCTAGTGCATATTATATGCAGTGCATTAAAATTTTTGGTGACTTAGGTGAACTACTAACAATTTAGAAAAAAAAAAGAAGTGCGTTTAGCAAGAAAATTTTTAACATAAACATAAACACTCACGCCTGTCACCCAGAGGGGTAGGCAGAGACTACAGACTTCCATTTGGCACGATCCTGACACACCTCTTTCGCCTTCTTCACATCCATACATCTACGCATGCATGCTCGTCGGTTAAGGGTACTCCTAATTTGGCCCGTTTTCAATAAATCGCCAATTTGGTCGATAAATTTTCGCCTAGGACGTCCCTTTCCGACTCTGCCATTCACTTCTGCAACATAAATTTTCTTTGTCACTCTTTCCTCATCAATTCTTTCCACATGACCAAACCACCGAAGCATTCCTTTCTTAATCCTGGTCACAACATCATCTTGCAAACCACACTCTTCTCTTATCACACAATTCTTCACCCTGTCATTCAGATTCAGCCCTAACATACTCCTTAACGACCGCATTTCTACTGCATTTATTCTACTCTCGTGCTTCTTCTGCCACACCCAACTTTCACTACCATACGTTAAAGTAGGGACCAACACAGCATTGTGAATTGCCATACGTGCCTTTTTTAACACATTTTGACTCTTCACAATAGAGTGCAGGGCCCCATTTACTCTGTTTCCTGCGTTCACTCGTCGTTCTATATCCTTATCATATCTCCCATCCCTGCTAAATACGCAACCCAAATATACAAACTCATCTACTTGCTCGATCAACTCCCCATCTATTCTTATTTCACATATCGTTTTACTTTCATCTCTTTCAAAAACCATAATTTTCGTCTTACTTGCGTTCACTTTCATACCCCTTTCTTTTAATGATCTGTTCATTAATGTAACCATCATTTGCAACTCAGCCGCCGACGACGCAAGAATAACTTGATCATCGGCGTACAAAAGGCATTTGATGGTTAACTCACCCATTCTTAATCCGCATTTTTCAACTTTCAAATTTTGCAAACAACTGTCCATAAATAGGTTGAACAACCACGGGGAAGCCACACAGCCCTGTCTGACACCTTTATGGATGCCAAACCAGTCGGAGTAGACCCCGTTGATCCTAACACAAGCACTAGAGTCCCTATAAAGAGATTCCAATGCCTGTATCAAGCCAGCGCTCAACCCAAATGAGTTCAGTGTTTGCCATAGCACATTCCTATCCACTCTGTCATAGGCCTTCTCCAAGTCCATGAACCAAAAAAACCTTTTGGTTTTTGGCCAAAAACTTCTCCGCGATCATGCGCATGGAGAAGACTTGACTGTACATCCCATTCCCTTTCTAAATCCCGCTTGCACATCCCAAATTTTTCCATCGGTTTCTTTCATGACCCTTTCAATTAGTACCTTGGCATATAATTTTCCCACGATGCTAAGAAGGCTGATACCGCGGTAGTTTTTACAGTCCTGCTGCGACCCTTTTCCCTTATATACTGGGACTATCACGGCTTTCACGTCTCCCGGTACCCGCTTCAGTTCCCAGCATACATTAAACAAGGTGTGCAGCAGGCCTGCCACCACTTCCTCTCCAGCCCTTAGCATTTCGAGTGAAACTCTATCATAACCGGCAGCCTTACCTGCTTTCATGCTTTTCATTGCTTTCATTATTTCATCTATACTTATCTCGCTACCTCCTTCCTCTTCTTTCGGAGTTCCTATTTCATTCAGTTCATACGTTGTCTCCTCACTCATAAACATGCTTTCAAAATATTCCTTCCATCTCTTTAAACTCAAAACTTCATCATTCAGAATATAGCCATTCTCATCTCTTATAGCATTCATTATAGGCTGTTTTGAACGTCCCCTGGCTGTTCTTACGAGTTTCCAGAACATTTTAATATTTGCCTGGAAGTTATCCGATATTCTTCTATCATTCTTATCCGTTCTTTCTTGCTTTTTCCTTTCAACTACTTCTTTTACTCTTTTATTTAGATGTCTAAAGACTGCCTTTTTTCTTTCAAAATCATCATTCGTACCGGTAGAATTACCAGCCTTAGTTGCTAGTAAATCTAGCCATGCAAAATTTTTAATGCTATATTTTTATAGTTACCTACTTACTTTGTTATAGCTGAGCTGCGGCTGAAAGTTATAATCCGTTGCGCTTACTTCGTATATTTGATATCTTCTAAAGTATTCCTTAAAATGATATAGTTTAAAAGACAATTATATTCTACATTTAATATCCATATCAATATGTGGTTGTTAAATGTAGAATATAATTGTCTTTACCTTAAATTCAGATAAATAAGTTAGTAACCAGATCACTAACATACAGGACCAAAAGTCCGTTAACTTTTGAATCGGTAGCTGCGTCGGGGAGCGGTGGCGGGGCGGGGCGGCGGGGTTACGAAATGAAAGAGCGGCCGATGGGAATTTATTTTAATGCCATGGCGTCCTTCACCGGAGCACAACGTGCGTTCTGCGTACGCAAATATTACAAAAATAACGATTCTTTGACAATATCGCAACGAAAATATTGTAATCATTACAACATACGCCATAAAAATGAAGCTCCATCGATTCAGTTGAATACGAGTTGGGTAAAGAAATTCGAAAAGACAGGTTCAACGTTAAAACAACCAAGATCCGGCCGACCTAGGACATCAAGCGATCCCGAAAATGTGGAACGTGTAAGAGCGTCTGTTCGTGAACAACCGAGACTCTCTACTCGAAAACGGTCTAGCGTCTTAAATGTGCCAGAACGTCTTTAAACCGCATTCTTCATAAAGATTTACATTTTCATCCGTATAAAATCCAAATGGTACAGACATTAATGCCTCAAGATCACGCTACCAGGCTGCAGTTTGCCAACGAAATGCTAGAGAGGTTTACCAGCTTTACCAACATTTTTTTCTCAGACGAGGCACACTTTCACGTTAACGGGGATGTCAACAGGCAAAATTGCAGGTATTGGAGTGACAATAATCCAAAATTGAAGCATCAAAAACCCCTGCATTCACCCAAGGTTACTGTATGGGCAGCTTTGTCAGCAAGAGGAATTATTGTTCCCTACTTCTTTGAAGACCAAAGGGGACGCACTGTTACAGTGAATACAGAGCGGTACGTATATTGTCATGTTACGAAACTTTTTTGCTCCCTCGCTACAAAATTTTGATGGTTTTAATCAACGATCGTGGTTTCAGCAAGACGGGGCAACATGTCACACCTCCAATAATTCATTGAGTGCAGAAATTTTTTCGAAAATTCGAGAAATTTTCGACCAATAAGTGATATCCAAAAGAGGCGACATTAACTGGCCTCCTCGCAGTCCGGATCTGTCCCCAATGGATTTTTTTCTTTGGGGATACCTTAAAAGTAAAGTTTTTGAGACCAACCCCGTGTCTGTTGCGGAATCGAAGCAACGTATTCGCGAGGAAATGCAAAACATTTCTCGGAACACTTGTCAGGCCGTCATTGAAAATTTTCGCTCCAGGTTACAGCGATGCCAAAATAATGAAGGAACACATATGGAGATGTAATTTTTAAAAAATTAATTCCCTTTTTATGTGTTTTCATAATTAATAAACGCTTTTCACCTGACGTAATTAGTTTTCATTTTAATTTAGTTTGTAAAGTAAAAAAAAACTTATGGCCCACCCTGTATTATTTATCTGAATATAAGGAATAATACAAAAAGCGTCGTAATTTACATAATATTTATAATTAAAATTTTAAAGAACAATTGTTACGGTGAGCACATGAGTAAAGAATTATTACTCATGTGCTCTGAGCCAATTACTGTAAGAGATATGCCATCGTGAAGTTTTATCTAGGATTTTTGAAGAACAACAATTTTATACTAAATTATTTTGACGTATCAGTTAAAGTAAAGTCTACTACATAAATGAATTTACATGGCTAAGTAAGCCATGAAAATTGATTTATTTAGCGACTTGTTTACAATTTTTTTAATCTTACTGATGGAAAAACCGAAACAAAATTCATCGCGTGTTTTAGGAGTTAGCGGATAAACATAAAGACAGACTTTATACTACCTATGAAGAGGATACCATAAATTCCATTTTAAAACCTTGATAATATAATCAAATACATGCGTGTGTGTGTGTTGTGTGTGTGTGTGTGTGTGTAATATATATATATATATATATATATATATATATATATATATATATATATATATATTATGTATTTATATATTTAAGTCTAACGGTTTTCAGTTTTAAATGTGATTAAAATAATTAAAAATAATATAATGTGTCCCTGAAAACTGAATATACGGACATATATTTAGATTTATCTAAGCATTAGATCTCTTTTAATTATTTCTACTTATATATAATTAGGCACATTGATAATTATTGCTCAAAAAATATTTTTCTGACTTTATTTTTTAGATTTTTTGCGCAACATCTTGTATATTTGTCTAAAAATATAGGTATTTTTAAGAACGTTTATATCAGAAAGGTATGAGTATTTTAAAGAATACGCCAATTTTTTTTAATTTTACATTACCATTTTAAATTATTTTATACAGGTGGACTTAGAGCTAAACGGTGAACAGTTAGATATCCACATGAAGCTCGGGGAGTCGGGCGAAGCGTTTTTCGTGGAGGAGGTGGGTGAGGACGAGGCGGTGTGCTCCGCGCACCTCGCTACATCCCCCATACCAGCTACGCGTTTCGAGGAACTTTACGAACCAAGGCGTAGAAATTCATTGTCGATAGTCGAGCCTGACCATGGCCTTGCTTCTGATTATACAAAACGACGGTAATACTATTTATTTTTTAAATTTATATAACTTGCATATATTGGTTAATAATTAATTAAAAAATGTAAGTACCAAAAAAAAAACAAGATAAAAGCTCTTAATTATATTATTAAGCAAATAATTTAAAGTAAGAGCTAAAATTTGGCCCAGAGCTTCAAGTACAATCGCTAACACCAGCTAGATTTATTACTCTAAAGTTAAATCTCACGACACCGAGGAAAAGACGCGTCGATGGATTGTGTTTATTACAGGTACAATACAAAAAAAAGTCTTCCTAATGTTTTTAAGTTTTTACGGAAGATAGTTTTGAAGAATAATCCATAAACATTCACCCTAGATATCCCATGTATTTGAATATGGTTATTTTTTTGGTTTTATCGCAACCATTGTCAAATTCCAGGCGCATTGCAACTTTTTAATCTAAACTAGAAAGTAAGCGCGATCGCATGTTTCGAAAAGTAAATGAATGTTCCGATTTTGCATGTTATCAATAATTGAACACATGCTTTTTTATATATTAAACAACACTAGTATTATTTGTTCCGTCAATAAATTTATTTAATTGGTCTATTTATTTAATTGATCTATTAAAGGAAAGATAGGCCATTGCCTATCTTTCCTTTAATAGATACGATTAGAGCTCAGCTTATTTAACTATGCAGAGTATAGTACTAAAGTGCATAATCGATAGTATTTATTTAAAGTATTATGTAAGTAAATGATTTGGAATAAGTGAAAATGCCTTTATTTGTTTGTTTTAGTTATACTGCTGACGGCCAGACTATGCAGAAACCTGATTTAAGTAAGCTTAAAACCAAAGATGAAAATAAAAAAAGAAATGATACTGAAAATGACGCCCTATTTGAAATGGAGGGCTTGGATGATGTAACGGTCGATTGGACCGACGCGAAACCCAAAACGTTTGCAGCAACGGAGCTCGGCGGAGCCGAGAGTGATGCTGACCATGTAGTACAAAAGATTAGCGCGAACAACGACTTCCGCCCTATCGAAGCCGCGCCCTCCGCACAGGAAGAAGTAAAGCAAAATGGAAACGGGAAAAAGAAAAAAAAGACTAGAAAGGTCAGCATGAAGAAGAAGCACCAAAGAAAGTCCTCCACCAGTTCCGTTTCAAGCCAATCAGACCTCGCTAGTTCCGAGCCGCGTGGGTCGCAACCCACTTCCATTCCAAATAAAGCTGATATTAACTTTTTCAGTGATACCGAAGTGAATGCTGCTATGCTCAGGTATTTTGAAGTATTAAATAGTTTTTCATGTATTATGTGTGACTTTTAAGTGGCTTTTTTGACTGAGTGGGTAACATGGTTGCAGTGAAGAAATGTCGAATTTGAAGCTGAACGGAGACAACCGCATCCCGCTGGCGTTGTCCGATACAGCGTTCGAGGTGCATGCAGCCTCCAGACACTCGTAAACATTATATTACAATAATCCAACGCCTCGCTTACTGTATTATTTCACTATAGTTGTACTGTACGAGCAAATTTATGTATTTATAACGTATTATATGATACTTAAATATGGAGCGCTTCCTGTAAACAATGTAACTTTATCATAAAGTCAAGTAAATATTCGTAGTGAACATACTTACGGATGTATCTTTCTGTTTTTATAAAAGTATATTGCTCTAGTAACCTCAGCTATCACTTAGTATAGCTTTATTTATTTTTAACAATTATATTTAGTTTACTGTCGTGACAATTATATGTAGTTTAATAATTATATTGAGTTTAATATTTTTAACAAAATTGATGCACTGACATATTATGAGCTTAGGTTTTTGAACTTATTTAATTCTTAACTTCGGCGATGTTCTTGACATCGGCGATAACAAAATTTATTTAATAAAAGATATTTATAAGCAAGACATATGATTATGAAAAATTTTTAATTCAGAAGATTATTATGTACCAATGCATCGCCGTACACATATAGGGCGTTAATATACTGATTAGGTACTGATGCCATGGTTTTATAACATGTTTTTTTTATATTGTTTACATAGCATACGCAAATATACCCCAAATAATGATATTAAACACTCACTTTTAAACACAGTTTGAAAATAAACCCATTGTGAAAACAAACATTGTTAGCATTTGTAGTTTTCATGAACTATGATATATTGACGACATTTGAAATGCGAAAAAAATTACAAGCCCTGCAATTGCTAAATTAAAAAGTTGTTTTTGTTATTGCCATCTCTTTCATGACATCTAAACCTCGGACGTAGAAGTCAACAGCTTAATTAATAGAAATGTAAAGCAATCAAATGTCTGTAGATTTTGGTCACTACATTGAATAAAACTAGTTTTTACGGAACTGTCGGCAACATAAAAATAAGATAATGAAAGGTGATAAAATCCGCAATATCTAGTTTCATTCACCACGATCTTTTATTGATATCCACGATTATTTGTCGTCAATATTACTACTTTAGTTTTTGATTATATGATAACTTTTAAGTTTAAGAACAATCTCTTCCATTCAAGGCTCTATGTAAATCGTCTCATACAAAAAGAATCTAGTAAAATAAACTAGCGAAAATTTGCACGATAAAATCTTCGTATAGAAAGTTTTTTTTTTAATTATTACGCATCGCTTATTGCCTCGTAAATCCTTATTGTGGGTATTTATAGCGTTTTCCACCTGTAGCGCCTACAAAAACTCGAGACCCCCCCCTCATATATAACAAGTTATTTAATAATACTATTGCTGTTAAGAATATATAAATATTGCAGCTCAATTTTTAATCTGCTACTTAATCGAGTGACTGAACTAGCCATTAACTATAATTTTCTTTAAATTCCTTAAGGAAGCCAAGCCAATTCGCTAATCCGTTAAACATTAGCCTAGTGTACTACTAAAGCCAAGCCTTAGTGTAATATAATATTAAAAGGGCTAGGCGAACTCTAGCCATCTAATTTTAGGTTTAAATAAGTTTTAACTTTAATTCCATTGGATCATAGGACATTTTCACATCGGAAGTGACTGTAGAAAAAGTGGTCCAAAACATTTAATTATTTAAATAAAGTTTTGGTAGTTTAACAGTATTGAAAGGAGTGGCTTTCGATCGGCCCTATCGTTAATTAAATGCTTATACGCGTCGTAGTAATTTGACTATAAGTACGGAATACTTAATGTTGCTAGAAGGCTGCATTTAGTTAAATGGTAGCGTTTAACTAACAGTCTACAAGTTTTATTAACTAGCTGAATAAACATTCGAACTGTCATATTACCTATGTATTCGCAGCCTTGTATCTTATTGTATATGCAGAAAAGATCTTTCTCAACCTATGACAAATTCAGTTTACGCAATTGCTATAATATTAATTTCGTCAGCTCGGCTTTCTATTTTGGATAAGAATCAGATGTTTTTTGTTTTTTGTTGTGTTTATTGTGAGATTTAATTCCCCCAAAAATGAGTTCAACAGTTAATATTTTGGTATACAGCAAGGGGTCACGTAGCGGCACGCCTGTGCAGTCAGACACTGAGGTGGAGTTGTCGCGTGCGACTGCTGGTGACAAATCATCGCAGTCGTGGCGATGGGGCGAGTTGCCGGAGCCTCCGATGAGAGGGACGAATACAGAGTCTCCCGAAAGCCCAGCGTCTCCGGTGTCCCCGGCGTCCCCTGCTTCGCCGGCAGAGCCCCTCAGTTCTGACGAGGAACGGCCGGGACGGCGCGGAGTGTTCAGCGGGATGTTCCGCTTCATGTCGACGCGGGACGCCAACGATGCTGCGACGGGGGGTGTTTATCTAGACGACCTTGACCGCGGCCAAGTCGACCCCGATCTGTATTTCCCAAAGCACCATACTGAACGCTACCGCTCAGGTAAGTAACACGATTATAATTTTAACTAGCTTATAAAGTTTTCTGTTGATGTCAATGACAATGAAGAAAATTTGAAAAACTTATTACCTACAATATTAATTCAATATATATTTTCATCACGAAAATTATACTAAATCTAGAACTTCTGTTAGTATTAGCACAGTTTTAAGTCCTAATGGACGCCACACGGTCAGTTAGTTATCAGTTGAACTGATATCAGTTCAAACGGATTTAAGCCAAAGAAATTACCACACATACGGTCAGTTCAACTGATCATTCCGACTGATCAGTTCAAACTAGGGTTGTTAATACGATTATTTTTAGAATGTCGGATTTCCGATATATCGATAATTATAAATATATCATTATCGGAGTTTTACATATCGTGAGTTAATATACAGTAAGTCAATTTTTTGAAAGAAATATCGATATATCGGCTTTATTTAAAAAAATCGTAAGTCATTTAGTTTTGTTTATTTATTATATTTATTAAGCAAATTAAATAATAAATGTATGAAAATGTTAGATTATAGTTCTTATTAATTATTTTTTAGTTAAAATAAGACGTATGTTGACAATAGTTGCCAGTAAGAGTTTTCAAAAATACTCGTTGTTTTATATTGTCAGCTGTTTTATATGTTAAGAAGCACAGGTGCTACAGATGTAGTTGAAGAAATCAAATATTTAACAGCTATTTCTGATAGAACGTTAGTAAGATGTATGATAAGATGTAGGTGACAGTTATGAATCATAACTGTCACCTACATCTTTATGAGCCCTTTCAAATGAGTTCCAAAACGATCTTCCTATCTAGTGCCGTCACTGAGATCCTATACTCACCTTCGGATTGCACCATCAGAAAGACGAGATCATAACAGTCATTTAGGTCTTTATGAGCCTTTTCAAATGAGGTCGAACATGATCATCTTATTTAGTGACGTCACTGAGGTCCTATAACCATTTTCGGATTGCACCATCTAAAAGGTGAGATCATAACAGTCACCTAGGACTTTATGAGCCCTTTCAAATGAGTTGAAACACGATCATCCTATCTGGTGCCGTCACTGAGATTCTATATCCATCTTCAGATCTTTCAAATGAGTCCAAACGTAGTGGTTCTATGTAGTGCCATCACTGAGATCCTAAACTTATCCTTGATCCTTCGTTCCACCATAAGAAATGTGACATCATCACTGTCATCTAGGTCTTTATGAGTACCTTTCAAATGAGTCCAAACACAATGGTTCTATGGAGTGACGTCACTGAGATCCTAAGCCCCCCTTCGGAGTCCACCATCAACTAGGTGATATCATCACAGTCATCTAGATCTTCATGAACCTTTTTGAAAATGAGTTTTAACACGATGGTTCTACGTAGCATCACTGAGATCCTTTATCCACCTTCTGAGTAAATCATAAGGAAGGTGACATCATCACAGTCACCTTAGTCTCCACCCTCCATCAAACACAACGAAATTTTATAAATATTATATAAAATAATAAAAAATCTAAACTGCATAGAAATAATGTATGTAGCTACTAAGAAAGTAGGTAGTAGAAGATTTCACACTCACGAAGTTTTTGGACAGCGTGACCAGATTCAGTATTAAAATACTGAATCTGGTCACTGGTATATATATATATATATATATATATATATATATATATAAATATATATATATATATATATAATCGAAAAAATAAAAAATTATATATATATATTTAATTTTTATTTTATCGATTCTTCCGAACATCAGTATTTTGTGGGTATATTTCCAGAAGTTAGTATTTTTGTCTCTATTTTGGACTAGCTGTTGCCCGCGACTTCGTCTGCGTGGAATTTATTGCGATTGGATTTTATGAATTTTTTTTTGCGCGGTATCCTTATTGCTGCTTTTATAAAACAAAAGTAATCTAAGCTACCCCTTACAACATCCGCTGCATGCCAGTGAAAATCCCGTCAAAATCGATTCAGCGATTTCGGAGATTAGCCGGAACAAACAATTAGACAGACAAAAAAGTTAAGTTTTTTTGTAAGTACCGTATATACCACAATCTAAGAAGAAATACTTGCGCAATATTTACTGTCCTATGCATTTAGTAAAATAGATGTTACTTTTAACATTACAAACAGGCACTTCAATTTTATTTATTTGTTCAAATGTATAGATAGAAGATACGGTAACACCGTACCAATCATCCTCACGAACGTCGCTAATATTGATGTTCAGGGAATATTTTGGATTTAGTCCACATTTTATTTAGCAGCAAAGATCAATAAGTTACAAATAACAGGCGGTCGCCGTTGTAAGATTATTAAACTATATACTAGGGATGGGCCGAATATGGATTTCACCGAATACGAATATTCGGCCGAATATTCGGTTAAATTTTTACCGAACCGAATATTCGGCCGAACACTATTCGGCAGAATAACCTCGGGACTTAACCAATTAATGTCGAAACTTGTTACCGTAAAGCACACGGGATTAGCGCCGGACCCTGCTTCTCGCTTCCCGCCACACCTGACATGTTATTGCGTTATCTAGTACTGACAAAATTGCCGGCACATGCTTATGTTTTGACTATTCTTGTGATAAAAAAGTATTTCGTTGTTTTATTCTTAATTAAAATTAAAGTTATAGCCTATATACGTCCCACTCCTGTTCACAGGCCTCAACTCATTTCTGAGAGGGTTATAGGGCAAGGAATTGTCCACCGCACTGCCCCAATATGCTTGTTGGCGAACTTTACATGTCTTCGAAATAATTTTTTTCTTATTTCTCAGACATGCAGGTTTCCTCACGATGTTTTCAAAATTTTTGTAAATCAGCACTTAAAATTGCAATTAATAATTTCATTGGTGCCAGCGGGGATCGAACTCGGTTTGGTCGTGCACTGTGAAATTTACAGCGAGCGCTAACCATCTGAGCTACCATGGCTCTTTATTCTTAGTGAATAAGGTAAAGAGCCGTAAGAATTTTATTCTTAGTGAAAATTGATAATTATATGATAAGAATGAGCGGCAGGAGATTTACGATTTGGACTTATTTTAGAGAAACTGACGACCAAAGTAAAGTGAAATGTACTAATGTAATTTAATGTTTCTTTGTTTGATTCCAAAAACATTTTATCAAGTTTCTATTTGCCATAATCGGAAATAAATCCACAGTGCCTCAAAAACATAAATGTATAGATTTATGCATTTGAGGCACTCTTAGAGTAAGTAGATTTAGATTTAACCCATAAATAAAATATAATTTCAACAGTAAAGTGCATCGCATTACTTAATTCGTACATTTCAATACATTGGACACTATGAAAATGTTCGGTTCGAATGTTCGGTGATTTAGCCGAATATTCGGCTGAATACGAATATTCGGTAAACCTGCCGAATATGCCGAATACCGAATATAAAACGAATATTCGGCCCATCTCTACTATATACAACAATTAAATAATCTATTATTTTCAAAACAAGGCTTGAGTTTTAAGTTTTAGTTTGTACGAATAGGTAAATATCGAATCGTCTAATACGTTTTGGTTAAGAGAAATGATTTTCTGTGCTACACTTGACTTATCCTTTGAGATTTTTCTTTCGATAATTAGGGAATTCCCCATAATTAGTAATACGTTTTTGTCATGATGTAAACAGAGCGCGTATTTTCCAAGCATCCATCCGGACAGCATGTCTAGTATTCAGCAAAGATATTTGGCAAAGTGGGAACAAATCAAGAAATTTTTGTGGCTTTTACATTATAAAGATAACGAGTTCACTGCCTTTTGCAAAGCGTGCTATACCAAACTCAAAAATAAATTAGCATCTATATAACAATATGTTTATGGATGTACGTCAGTTCGATTGAGCTGTTTCAACTGACAGTACGCCCGAAAAAATCCGTGGGATTGTCGTCAGTTGAAAATTTCAACTTAAGATTCGACACTCACAGTCAGTTTTTGGATGTACGTCAGTTCAACTGATCATTTTAACTGACCGTGTGTGGGGACCATAACAGTTGTGAAACGTCTTTGATGGCCAGCCATGCCACCGCGCCGCCCGTGTAAGTGTTTACAAGGCCAGAGTGGATGCAGGGGTTTATTAATATTATTATAATACTCATTATCATTTATTAGCATTATGTACATACTTACAAGCTAAAACATTGAACAAGATTAATTTTTATTACAATTATTATTAAAATTACAAGAAAACACACATTTACTATATTATATTTTATTGCAGTGCCAAATATTTTCGTGGAACTTTCTTTTTATAGGTGTTTTCAGTTTTCGATTGTTAAATTTAATTATGTAGTGTAATCATCACATTCGGTACAATTTTATCAATAAAAAATGAGTGGAAACATAAGCATGGCCGTCATTTGAATTCAATTTTACTTGGTAACTCCTATAATAGTATAGGTATTATATTTACACACTATAGGTATTATATTTTTCGAAAACGGCACTTAAAATTAGTTAAATATGTACAGTATATATTTCACATAATTTAAAATAAAATCTTCCTCAGACGTATAGACCAATGTTTTGCATACTTTCTGAACATGGTTATCAACACATGAAATTGCGATAAATAGTTAGTTTCAATACCTAGTACGGGTGAGAATGGAACCGCACTAAAATGGCTTTTTTTATATATTATTGATCCGAGTCTTTTTTAACTAGTATTTATAAATAAGATTCATGGGTGTGTGACCGTCTCTGTAAAATAATATTCCCCTCGTCTCATTCATCTTGGAAAATCTCCAACTTAGGGAATAGCTCGAAAGATATTGTTTGTGAAAAGTAAAACACCTGCAACCAATCTGAAACTACTTTGCATGTTGCTGTGTTATATTTTGTGACGATTTAGACAAATTCTTATTTACTATAGACAGGACGTACGTATGATATGACAGAGATTCATAAGATAATATTGTGATGAAGATAAGCTGTTAAAGCTACCAAGCGTTTATAGAGTAGTAAATGCAATTTTGAAATACTCTTGTTGCAATTTTAAGTGCTTAATCATCCATTTATTCAGCTAACTGACATTTCAGTAGGCCAGCAAAATGTTCTACAACACATGCTTAAAGTCAATAATGATATTATGAAACCTTTGCCCAGAACATAGCAATGGAACTTCTATGGTTAACGCTTTTACTTTTGCTCACCTTTATACTTTCAAGTTTCAACCATATAAGAATTTTTATATGACCCCGAAATGTAAATGGTCATTAGAACAGATCATATGACCATAAATCTAATAAATATAAACATTTCTCGAGTACCTACATTAAAATTAAAAGATCATCTACAATTAAAAACTGTACATTAACATTAGTTCATTTAGTTAGTCACATTGTATATAATTTAGGTAATTGTATAAAATAGTATCTGATATCGTTCGTAATCTTCGTACGTAAGTCACATTTACGATAATGTACAATCAATTACAAATACATCCTGTTCGGGTTTTAATGTAAAAAAAATTATAATTCTTTTCTGACTCATTAATTTTATGGAGCACAATAGCGGACGTGATAGCAGCTGTGACACAAATATTATGTTTACGTTTCTTATTAAATGTTGCCATTGTGCTTAGTATTCCATGTTGCAATCAAATAAGTGATAAAAACATTAAATAATTTAATCATTTTAAAAATGATCCCAATTTATGGGACGTTTTTCTTGTGAAGGTTTAGTCATAATACTTAAAAGATTATTTTAGTTGCGTAACATTATAGTCAACAAATCAATAACCATATCAATTTCACTTGATTATTCTCATAATATGGGAGCAGCTGTACTCACAAAATGGGCGTAAAACCTAAAACTGCTGATGCAATTATCGTCAGAATTATTTGCATATTGCAACCATATATAATCGACATAATAACCAGACAGATCAATACCAAAAAATGATGCCCACCATGTTGCATGTTTCATTTTCACTACAGGAAGAACTTGGCAGCTTTTAAACCGGTGATTCCCAACCAGTGGTCCGTCCACAAGAACTTAAATATGGTCCGCGAAATATTTAAATATTTTGCCTATCATCTAATCGTTTTAAATAACATACATATGTTATTTTTAGTACCCAGTAGCTTTTGCAATAAATACACAAATAATACTGCTAATAATTGCTTCTTTTCTGTTTATTAAATTATAATGTTAAAAGTTGTGATTATAAGTTATTGTTATGGTCGCTACACACGGTCAGTTCAACTGATCATTCCAACTGATCAGTTCAAACTAGGACTGTTGATATTTTTTAAAATATCGGATTTTCGATATATCGGTAAATAAACTTATATATAAACCTCCGATATTGATATATTTATAAAAGCTTGGGAGTGATCAGTTTAACTGACCGTGTGTGGCGACCATTAGATTAACATCGTTTTTTCTTTCGCCTTGTGGTCCCTGTTAAGAACGTAAAGATCAGTGGTCCCTGGTCAAAATCCAAATTCAAAAAGAAATCAAATTTCAATTAGGACAACAATACACAAGTGATGATGTAAATCCCCATCCTCATCCATGAGTTAATCTCCTTGTCAGCAAACATTATAGTTTAGTATTATAGTTAGTATATTTAAAGCTATGTAACTTAGAATGATAAATGTCTGCAGGGGGCGTAAGGGGTACAGTGCAAGAAGTAGGACCGACAGAAGAGGAGTATGAGTCAGGCAATGGACCTTCTCTCCCACAGTCCCCAGCTTCCCTCGAACCGCCCACTATCGACTCAGATGACGAGGACAAAATATTAAGCAAGTAAGTTTATTAAACGGAAATTCTTAAAGTTAGCCTTATTACTAAATATATTAGTGATGAATCCAAAAATCAAATTATACTGATTTTATCGCGTTTAAATTTTTATTTTCCGAAATTTCCGAAATTTCGGGCGATGTGCAGTGCAGGGCTAAGGTGATTGACGCCCTGATGTCAAAAAACTGACCCGGAGTACCTTCAACTTTAAAATATTTTTGTTAGCCTGAAACGCAGAACGAGCATAAAGTATCTTGAAGTAATGCAGTGCCTAGTATGCTTGGATTTAATTTTATTAATTATGGGATCCCAAGCAGATTGTCGCACCCAACAATCTTCTATATTGAGATTAGGATGGTTTTTTTTTTAATTTCAATAGCCTGTCGAAACATTCTTGATAGGAATGGGTCTGTCAAATCGTCGATTATGAAAATGTTCACATTGTAAATCCGTAAAATTTAAAGGTATTATGAAAGATATATATAATGCTATTTAGAATTTAGAAAAATAAGCAATTAAGAAATAGAGTTAAATGTTTTATGTTATGATAAATGATTTCAATTCCTCCTTGCAATATGTACTTAGTTTATAAATACTTTGTGGTTTGTGAACTTTTTTCTTGTTTTTAGTAATAATTAATAAGATCGCCTTATGTCGTAACTACTGTATTTACGTAAGACTATAATAATATAACTCTGTAGTACACGTACACGTTCCGTGAAGCCATGAAACTTGACGTCATTATTGTTATATATGCATAATTAGATTTGATTCCGCTATGTTTATCTTAGTTTATCTTTATGTATTTGTTTACTTTGTGGGCTATATTATTAAATTTGCATTAAAATGCACGTAATTTGTATTTTAGGATTTATATTTGTCAGATTAATTCGTTATGGTGACTGCATAAAATAATTCATCGTTTCATTTGGACGGATATACTAGGGCCGTAAAATCGACTGAAAAAACTGTTAAGACAACTTTATATGAACTTACAGATGTTGGAATAATTATTGATGACACCAAGTATATCTAGAACAAAGACTTATAATAGTTTATAACGCTCGACGCGCCAGGTACCACAGGTACTGCAGTCGCCAATCCGCCCGCCATACGTGAGGACGCGGCAATCTTTTGAGACACCCATGTTCAGTCGGAGGCAATTGGCTGATGTTTCATTTTTTATGCCTAATTTCGACCGCAGCGAAATGAAAGTTATGAACAACGCAGAATATAACACAAGTGCACATTTTAACATAAGTACTTACACATATTAACATAACCAATGCCTGCTCGATGTTAAACATGAAAAAGATTAGTAGGTACATAATTTATGCTTAGACCCAAAACTAATAATTAGCGTTTTCGCGAACGGAAAATATCTAATGAAAGTAAATTTTAGATAACGTAAATACAGATAGTGTCAGGGAAAAAGTATTACAGAAACTAGCAATTAATATTTATTTACAATATAAATTGCATAGTAATATATAACGTACATCGGGTCGAACGACGTCAGTCGCTTTCGTATTTAGGGATTGAAGCTAACTGGCAGGCACGTAGAGGATATTTGATTTATCACTTATCTAATCAAAGTATATTTTAGTTTAATGATGAAAAAAGACTTTGGAGTATCGTGAGTGCACACATACACTTATGACGAGAATTTCCTGCGTTAAAAAGCTCTGTTCAGTGATTCATTCTCTGCTGAATGCATATTTTACCTATCCAACACGAAGTAAGCGTGCGACATTTGGTGGACAAGAATTTTTGCTTATTATCAGGAAATGAAGGATCTAATAAAAGCCGATTAAGAATCTAATTTAAAAACATGTAAATGTTATGTTGTCCTAAGTTTATTCCTATTCCTGATGATTAGATTTTTTTTATCTCGATCAATATAAAGTATTTTAATAATATACTCTTTTATATACTCAATGACGTCGATAGTATCTGCTAACGGATAGGTCTTAAGATGAACATGGACAAACAAAAGTCATGTGTAACGTCCAAGTCATACTCATGGCGACGAGTTGCATGTTGACGAGTATGTTTACCTTTTTTTTATAGTAGAGGGGGCAAACGAGCATGCGGCTCACCTGATGTTAAGTGACTACCGCCGCCCATGATTAACCGCAACACCAGGGGAATTGCGTGAAGGTGCGTTGCCGGCCCTTTAGAAAGGAGTAAGCTCTTTTTTTGAAGGTCCCCAGGTCGTATCGGTCCGGAAAAATCGCCGGTGGTAAACTATTCCACAGAGAGGTATGGTACGCGGAAGACAACTCCTTGTGAAACGTACAGTGGTGGACCGCCAGGCATCCAGATCCATCCATCGTTAACGAAATTTGGTGGCTGGGATTAATCCGAACAATTCCCCAGAGCACTCCCCATGGTATATGTAAATGAAAATGCAGAGATGCAACATCTCTTTGCATTTTCATCTTCGCAGCGCCAGTGAATCGAGCCGATCGGAAAGCACTCGGTCGTCGACGATTCGAGCCGCTCTGCGCTGGATGCGTTCAAGTGGAAGGAGCTGGTACTGGGGAGCTCCAGGCCAGAGATGGGAACAGTATTCCATGTGCGGACGAACCTGCGCCTTGTAAAGTTGCGGTTCCGGCATGAAATACTGTCCCGCTCTACTGAGCACGCCAAGCGTTTTAGAGGCCAATTTGGCTTTCCCTTCCAAGTGACCACGAAACTGCACGTCACTCGATATGTCGACGCCAAAGATTCCTAAACTGGCTGAGGCAACAAGAGGAGTGCCTTGAAACTGAGGAGATACGACAAAGGGGTTCTTTTTAGCGGTTAACGCGCAAACTTGTGTCTTCTGAGGGTTAAACTGGACTAGATTTAGTCGCCCCCAATCCGAGACTCTGTTCAGCAAAGACTCGACTTCAGACACATGTTTGTTCGGAGACATTTTCCCGAGAAATATTGGCACGGCCGGTGTACAGAGCATCACCAGTGCTGTCATCTGCATAGTAATGAATGTTACGGGTTTGCAACATATCATTGATATGTCGAAAAAACAGCGTTGGCGATAGCACGCATCCTTGTGGAACACCAGCATTAATAGGCTTGTAATCTGGGCTTGCACCGTCTACAACGACCTTGATGCTCCGATATGCAAGAAAGCTGGTGATTCAATTGCATAATTTCTCGGGAAGCCCATAGGAAGGGAGCTTCGAAGGAAGCGCTTTGTGCCAAACCCGATCGAAGGCCTTTGCAATGTCCAAACTATCGGCCAATGCCTCCCTCTTGGACTCTACTGCCTCAGCCCATCTATGAATTAGGTAGAGCAGAAGATCAGCAGCTGATCGACCACGACGAAAACTGTATTAGCGATCACTAATCAGCTGCTGATCTTCAAGGTACCTCATGAGCTGGCAGTTTACAATGGACTCCATTGTTTTGGAGAACTAGGAGGTGATGGCGATAGGCTGGTAGTTGGACGGGTCTGAGCGGTCGCCTTTTTTAGGGATCGGGTGGATGAAAGCCGTCTTCCATGATTTTGGGATTACGCCTAGGAAGTAGGAGTACCGGAAAAGACGCGTTAAAACCGGTGCCAACTCTGGAGCACACGTCCTCAGCACAATTGGGGGTTTCCGTCAGGCCCACTCGACTTGTGGATGCCCAGGGAGAGGAGTGCTTTGCGAACTGAGCGCTGTGTGAACTGCACTTCCGGTATGGAGCACTCACACCGCGAGATGATCGGCGGCGTACTCCCCCCGTCATCGAGAGTCGAGTTTGACGCAAAGAAAGAGCCTAGCAGATCGGCTTTCTCCTTTGCAATATGGGCCAATGAGTCGTCCTCGCTGTGCAGAGATGGAAGAGATGGCTGACAGAAATTCCCCTGGACAGCCTTGGCGAGAGACCAGAATGCCCGGGTTCCGGAAGGAAGGCGACCTAGTTTCTCGCCAATTCTGCCTATGTGCTCTGACTTTGTCTTGGCAATGACTCTCTTGAAGGACATGGAGGCGGAGTGGAATTATACTTCTTTTTTAGAGCGCTGGTGTACGCTGGTGTGTGACGTAAGTCTTGGGACGTTGATGCGTCAGCCCAGGCTTTGTAGCACTCCTGCTTATAGCATGATGCTATTTTACAGGAGCGACCAAACCATGGCTGAGATTTGCCTCCAATGGACACCACAAAGGAAGGAATAAAAAGTTCCATACCCTGAAGTACCACATCAGCGACAGAATCCGCAACAACGTTGGGGTCGCCTGGCGAGAAGCAAACCCGCGCCCATAGGTAGGATGCAAAGAAAGACCGCATCCCATCCCAATCGGCTGACCTATAATGCCATAAACGGCGGCAGCCTGCGGAATGTAAATGCGATTTCAGCGTGAGTGGCACCACATTCCGGACAAGACTATGGCCCGAGGAGCCTAAAGGGGGAAATAACCAGTTGTGTCAGACCATATGCCAAGTCAAAATCATGAACAGATCTCCCCGCATGATCGGTTAAACGTGAACCAAGCCATTGGGCGTGATGGGCGCTAAAGTCGCCGAGGATCACGATCTCTGCGGAGGGGATCTGCTGTAGCAACGAATCTGTAGCGTGGTCGAAGAGTCGGTCTGTTTCGGCATTACCGCTATGGGACCTATAGAGGCACCCGTAGACGCGCGGATGGTCGTCGCTGTCAACGCGTAGCCAAAGGATGAACAGGTCCGAACCTTCAAGACTGCCGAGGCGTCGAGAACAGATGTCTTCTCTGACGTAAACACAAACTCAAGCCCGAGGCACAAAGGAGTGTTTCAGTTTGTACCGCGGGTAGGAGAGATACGAGACATCAGCAGGCACCTGCGTCTCGGTCAGAAAGAACAGAGCCGGCCTCGCCGATGGTAGTGGACGGCGTTTAGGTTAGTGAAGTCCCCTGATATTGCAGAAATTCACGGACAGCGTGGCAGGGGTCGCCTTGGTCTTGTTGCTCCGTTTGCCCCGAGCAGTTGTAATCTTGAGCGGAATTTTGCCCCCCCCCCCCCAGAATACGCGGGGCAGCCTAAGCACCCACGCTCGGATGGGTGTTCATTTCTTGCTGGTACCTTGGTTTATTTAATTCCGCTACCATGTTGAGGGGGGGGGGAGTTTGGGCCTCCGGCCACCTGCACTCACAAGACGAAACGCGGTAGCAGAGCTTCCACTTCACGCCGGTATTCTGTGAGGTCGTGATACCACCTCGGTTTGAGCCGGCCCATACGTGCAACAGCAAAAATGGCCGCGTCTACCACTGTTTAACCTGAGACAAAGGTAATTCAAACTTCGACCGAGAGGTTAATTCAGATGGATTCAACTTGGTTGGGCAGCATTCGGGAGATTACGACACATTTTCTCGCCAAGCATACTTCAAAACAAGGTTGTATATCCAGCGCGTGATTCCAGTGATGACCTATGGATCTGAGACGTGGTCCTTCATTGCTGGCCGTATGAGAAAGTTCAAGGTCACTTAGCGAGTTATGGAAAGGGCTATGCTCGGGGTTTCATTGCGTGATAGACTTAAAAACGCGGATAACCGCAGTGGAATTATCTGTCGCATTAATAAGCTAAAGTAGCAATGGACCAGCCATATAGTTCGAAAAACCGACAACCGATAGGAAAGAAAGCTTCTGGAATGGCAGCCTCGTACCGGCAGGCGAAGTATATCCATCTAGTGGGGGGCAATCCAATAGATGGAGTGACGGCCTGGTAAAGACATGCAGGAAGTCGATGGATGCAGGTGGTTCGGAATCGTGCTTTGTGGCATTCCTTGGGGCAGACCTATGTTCAGCAGTGGACTTGTAAAGGACTGTAGTGATGATAATAATAATGAAAGTATTTTAAAAATCCAACCGATTTATAATTTAATTATTGCATATATGGTCATATTTTTTTCCTAGCATATTATTTCAAGAAGTGCAAAAGCGTGTCTAAAATACAACAATATTGTCGAACCTGTCCTTAATTGGATAGTACAATGTATGTGTAACATTGGACAGGGGGGAAGTGTCGGTGTACGTGCGCGAGGGCGCGGTGTCGCGCGCGCTGCCGTTCGACGAGTTCTGTGCGCACGGCGAGGCGCTGGCGGCGGATGGCCGCCTCGTGGTGCGCGTGGGCACGCGCTGCCTGCCCTGGCGCAGCGCTGGCCCGCTGCTGCTCTCGCTGCTCGCTTACCGTCGCCCGTTGCCCAACGTGAGTCACCTGCCACTGTTCACTTTGTTCTGCGCGCGCGGGTAGATGCTGACGGCAGGCGGCCGCCTTATGGTGCGCGTGGGCGCGCGCTGCCTGCCCTGGCGCAGGGCCGGCCCGCTGCTGCTATCCCTGCTCGCTTACCGCCGTCCGCTGCCCAACGTGAGTCTCACCTGCCACTGTTCACTTTATTCTGCGCGCGCGGGTAAGCGCTGGCGGCGGATGGCCGCCTCGTGGTGCGCGTGGGCGCGCACCGCTTGCCTAGACGCAGCGCCGGCCCGCTACTGCTCTCCCTGCTCGCTTACCGCCGTCCGCTGCCCAACGTGAGTCTCACCTGCCACTGTTCACCTCGCCTGCATCCCAATACGATTCTTCTCACTGCACTGTTTAGTGCGTCAGGTAGTCAGTAGCGTCAGGTTTTCTTCGTCAAAACTTGACGCTAGGCAGACAGATATTTACAAAAATATAATTATTTCTCTGCTTTGAGTCTTTTAATGCCATTTTGTAAAGGCAGCAACAAATAAAATTCATTGCCAAAATACAGAATCATAAAAAAAATATAAAACGACTTCAATCATCAGATCTGGTCGTAATTTTTATGGGACTACTTTTTGTGTTCTATCGATTTAAAAAAATGTGGAATTATGTTACACACTAACAATTTGACAAGTGTTTTATCAAGAGAAACCATAAATTAAAAAAAAAAAAAACAAGTACAAGAGAATGACCTTTAAATTCAGTCAGAGCCATCCTCTCTACAAATGAAATATCTTGAATTGATCTGTAAAGGTAAAATATCGTATGACTAAGATGGCTAAATGCTTTCTCGCAGCGTATCCTGGAGTCGTTGGACAAAGGTTCAGTGGAAGCGGAGGCGGAGGCGGAGGCGGAGGTGGGCGGGGCGGCGGGTGCGGCCAGCGCGGGCGCCAAGCCGCGCGCCTATAGCTGGTGGAGCTGGCGCCGCTCCAACGCAGACGCCAAGCGGTATGGAACACCACCTCCTACCACCTTATCCACAACCCCTATCTGAATAGAAATTCGTACAACATTGCCCATTATTATTATAATCATGTTATATATATTTAACAGTGGTAGAGCCACGCGGCAGCTTTGCTGTCGCACGTATGGGCCGGCTCAAACCGGGGTGGTACCACGACCTCACAGAATACCGGCGTGAAGTGGAAGCTCTGCTTCCGCGTTTCGTCTGGTGAGTGCAGGTGGCCGGAGGTCCAAATTCCCCCCCCCCCATCAACATGGTAGCGGAATTAAATGATAGACTACCCCAGGAGGGTACCAGCACCCCTGGAGAATCCCTCGCTGAGCATCCACGACCATGTTTCTCCACTTCTGAGCGTGGGTGCTCAGGCTGCCCCGCGTATTCTGGGGGGGGGCAATATTCCGCTCAAGACTAAAACTGCTCGGGGCAAACGGAGCAACAAGACCAAGGCGACCCCTGCCACGCTGTCCGTGAATTTCTGCAATATCAGGGGACTTCACTCTAACCTAAACGCCGTCCACTACCATCTCGAGACGGCGAGGCCGGCTCTGCTCTTTCTGACCGAGACGCAGGTGTCCTCTCCGGCTGATGTCTCGTATCTCTCCTGCCCGGGGTACAAACTGGAACACTCCTTTGTGCCTCGGGCTGGAGTTTGCGTTTACGTCAGAGAGGACATCTGTTCTCGACGCCTCGGCAGACTTGAAGGTTCGGACCTGTCCATCCTTTGGCTACGCGTAGACAGCGACGACCATCCGCGCATCTACGGGTGCCTCTATAGGTCCCATAGCGGTAATGCCGAAACAGACCGACTCTTCGACCACGTCCAAATGGCTGCAGATTCGTTGCTACAGCAGATCCCCTCCGCAGAGATCGTGATCCTCGGCGACTTTAACGCCCATCACGCCGAATGGCTCGGTTCACGTTTAACCGATCATGCGGGGAGATCTGTTCATGATTTTGCCTTGGCATATGGTCTGACACAACTGGTTACTTCGCCTACGCGGATTCCAGATGTGGAGGATCATGCACCTTCCCTGTTGGACCTTCTGCTGACCTCTCACCCGGACGGATATCAGATTTCCGTCGACGCCCCTTTAGGCTCCTCGGACCATTGTCTTGTCCGGAGTGTGGTGCCACTCACGCTGAAATCGCGGTTGCATTCTGCAGGCTGCCGCCGTGTTTGGCACTATAGGTCAGCCGATTGGGATGGGATGCGGTCTTTCTTTGCATCCTACCCTTGGGGGCGGGTTTGCTTCTCGCCGGATGATCCCAACGTTGTTGCGGATTCTGTCGCTGATGTGGTACTTCAGGGTGTGGAACTTTTTATTCCTTCCTCTGTGGTGCCCATTGGAGGCAAATCTCAGCCATGGTTTGGTCGCTCCTGTAAAATAGCATCATGCTATAAGCAGGAGTGCTACCGAGCCTGGGCTGACGCTTCAGCTTCCAGGGATGTAAACACCAGCGCTCTAAAAAAGAAGTATAATTCCGTCTCTAGGTCCTTCAAAAGAGTCATTGCCAAGGCAAAGTCAGAGCACATAGGCAGAATTGGCGAGAAACTAGTTCGTCTTCCTTCTGGAACCCGTGCATTCTGGTCTCTCGCCAAGGCTGTCCAGGGGAATTTCTGTCAGCCATCTCTTCCATCTCTGCACAGGGAGGACGACTCACTGGCCCACACCGCAAAGGAGAAAGCCGATCTTCTAGGCTCTTTCTTTGCGTCTAACTCGACTCTCGATGACGGGGGGAGTACGCCGCCGACCATCCCGCGGTGTGAGTGCTCCATGCCGGAAGTGCAGTTCACTCAGCGCTCGGTTCGCAAAGCACTCCTCTCCCTGGACATCTATAAGTCGAGTGGGCCTGATGGAATCCCCCCAATTGTGCTGAGGACGTGTGCTCCAGAGTTGGCACCGGTTTTAACGCGTCTTTTCCGGTACTCCTACTCCCTAGGCGTAGTCCCAAAATCATGGAAGACGGCTTTCGTCCACCCGATCCCTAAAAAAAGGCGACCGCTCAGACCCGTCCAACTACCGGCCTATCGCCATCACCTCCTTGTTCTCCAAAACAATGGAGTCCATTGTAAACTGCCAGCTCATGAGGTACCTTGAGGATCACCAGCTGATTAGTGACCGCCAATACGGTTTTCGCCGTGGTAGGTCAGCTGGTGATCTTCTGGTCTACCTAACTCACAGATGGGCGGAGGCAGTAGAGTCCAAGGGGGAGGCATTGGCCGTTAGTTTGGACATTGCGAAGGCCTTCGATCGGGTTTGGCACAAAGCGCTTCTTTCGAAGCTCCCTTCCTATGGGCTTCCCGAGAAATTGTGCGATTGGATCACCAGTTTTCTTGCAGATCGGAGCATCAAGGTCGTTGTAGACGGTGCGAGCTCCGATTGCAAGCTTATTAATGCTGGTGTTCCACAGGGCTGCGTGCTATCGCCAACGCTGTTTCTTCTGCATATCAATGATATGTTGCAAACCCGTAGCATTCATTGCTATGCAGATGACAGCACTGGTGATGCTCTTTACACCGGCCGAGCCAATATTTCTCGGGAAAACGTCTCTGAGTGCCGGGACAAACTTGTGTCTGAAGTCGAGTCTCTGCTGGACAGAGTCTCGGATTGGGGGCGACTAAATCTAGTCCAGTTTAACCCCCAGAAGACACAAGTTTGCGCGTTAACCGCTAAAAAGAACCCCTTTGTCGTACCCCTCAGTTTCAAGGCACTCCCCTTGTTGCCTCAGCCAGTATCGGAATGCTCGGCGTCGACATATCGAGTGACGTGCAATTTCGTGGTCACTTGGAAGGGAAGGCCAAATTGGCCTCTAAAAAGCTTGGCGTGCTCAGCAGAGCGGGACAGTATTTCATGCCGGCACACCGCCTGCAACTTTACAAGGCGCAGGTTCGGCCGCTCATGGAATACTGTTCCCATCTCTGGGCTGGGGCTCCCCAGTACCAGCTCCTTCCACTTGACCGCATCCAGCGCAGAGCGGCTCGAATCGTCGACGACCGAGTGCTTTCCGATCGGCTCGACTCACTGGCGCTGCGAAGAGATGTTGCATCTCTTTGCGTATTTTATCGCATCTATCACGGGGAGTGCTCTGAGGAATTGTTCGGATTAATCCCAGCCGCCAAATTTCGTGAACGCACTACACGGCAAACGTCCCGATACCATCCACACCATCTGGATGCTTGGCGGTCCACCACTGTACGTTTCAAAAGGAGTTTTCTTCCGCGTACAACCTCTCTGTGGAATAATTTACCACCGGTGGTTTTTCCGGACCGATACGACCTGGGGACCTTCAAGAAAAGAGCTTACTCCTTTCTAAAGGGCCGGCAACGCACCTGCAATTCCCCTGGTGTTGCGGTTGATCATGGGCGGCGGTAGTCACTTAACATCAGGTGAGCCACATGCTCGTTTGCCCCCTCTTCTATAAAAAAAAAAGAAAAAAAAAAATATATGACTGCCTCGTTGGTCTAGTGAATGTAGCAGTGCGACTGCAGATCATGAGGTCCTGGGTTCGAATCCCGGGTTGGGCCAAAAATCAATTATTGAGTTTTTCTGTCAAGAAATTCTCAGTAGTTGCCCGGAGTCAGAAAGTTGGCGGTGTCTCACCCCGTGCCTCGGAAAGCACGTAAAGCCGTTGGTCCTGCGCCTGATCTCTCTCCGGTCGTGTCGGTTTACCGTCCCATCGGATTATGAGAGTAAAGGAATAGAGAGTGCACCTGTGCTTGCGCATACACTTGAGCACTATAATCTTGTCCCGCGCCGATGGCTAGCCTCCGTTGAGGCAGGCCGCCGTGGCCGAAATTCGGTCTGGAGGACATTATTATTGTATGAAAACTCATTCTGCATGACACTTTGTCAGTTAATAAAAGTTAAAAAAAAACGTTTACAGTTCACACGCGGTAGAAGTGAAACCTTATTTAATTTTTATCAATAAAAATAAATTATTAACTCGTTTTTAATTATTAATATTTTGAGACCGACATAATAAAAACACTATACTGTATTCTATCTCATTCTCCCGCAGGCTAAATCCTATAGATGTATATGTTTGTCTCTTTTTGAGTTTCAAATCACAACGATTCTAAAGATGTTTACACTTCAAAATCAAATCTAAAGTTAAAATGATTATTTTAAGTACTTTTATATTATTTACAGGAAGTTTTTATAACAATGAACTTAAATAGTATGTTTTAACTTTGAAATTTTTTAAATGAAATGATGAAGAAATCATCATCATCATCATCATTACATCATTACAAGTCCACTGCTGAACATAGGCCTCCGCCAAATAATGCCACAAAGCACGGTCCTGAGCCACTTGCATCCATCGACTTCCTGCATATCTTACCAGGTCGTCACTCCATCTAGTGAGGGGTTGCCCTACACTACGCCTACCGGTACGAGGCTGCCACTCGAGAACCTTTATTCCCCATCGGTTATCGGTTCTTCGAGCTATATGGCCGGCCCATTGCCACTTCAGCTTACTAATCCGTTGGGCTATTTCGAGTCGGTCACTCTGGTTTTACTGCGGATATCTTCATTTCTGAGTCTATCACGCAGAGAAACTCCGAGCATAGCCCTCACCATAGCTCGCTGAGCGACCTTGAGCGTCCTCATACGGCCAACAGTCAGCCACTTCACATCACGCAAGTCATCACTGGCAACACGCACTGGTTGTACAATCTAGTTTTTAGAGATTGAGGTATACCTAACGAGAAGATGTGTCGTAATTTCCCGAACGCTGCCCAGCCGAGTTGAATCCGTTGATTGACCTCTCGGTCGAAGTTGGACTTACCTAGTCGGACTATTTGTCCCAGGTAAACGTACTCGTCAACAACTTCGAACATAGTGCTCCCAACAACTACCAGCATAGGTGTGACATGGACATTAAACATGATCTTTGTTTTGTCCATGTTCAACTTAAGACCTATCCGTTGGGAGGCACTATTGAGGTCATTGAGCAAAGTGCTTAAGTCCTCCAGCGATTCTGCCATAAGGACTATATCGTCGGCAAATCGAAGGTGAGTGATGTACTCGCCATTGATGTTAATACCGTATCCTTACCAGTCCAGTGGCTTGAATGAATATGGAAACAATAATCAACTCACACTTGTTTTTTACAACAAGTCTTTCAATGTTTTAATTGTTGTTCTGTTCCATTGTTATTTACATTTAACCAATGTACATTTCATGATATTATGAGGCTATATCTAAGGGATTGTTTGGTTGACAAAATTCGGGCAGTAAACAATCAACCCCATAATATCAAATTGGAGGTTTCTTTGGTCAATGAAATACTTAAAGCTTGAACTCGACACATACATAGTGCTTGAATCGTTTCCTATAGGAGATATTGACTATGAATTTCAGTGTAAATTTAAATATTTACTAATATTTAAATATTAGTAATATTTAAATATTTACTAAAGGAACATTATTTACCTAATTTCGATGAGGCAATGCCGTAGGCTTACTGTAAAATGTCAGTTTTGACATATTTTTTTCATTTGTAGTCGTGGGCAGCGTATATGTGAATTCTACGTGAGAAGTACAAAGATATCGTTTACTAGGTTCTTGATTCGAAATTTATAGTCAATTGCCAGTGTATGTCAAGTTTTATTAAGTAAATCGCGCATGATTTATGCCCGGTATTCATTGTTGAGTTTTGAATTTTCGAGTGTGTTTGTTCCAGTTCGTTACGTGTGTTATGGTGTTTGTTATGTCACACACTGGAATGTTATAAAGGAGGCTGTTCACATAACTTAACCGACTACGGTGAAATGAAAAAGGTGTAATGTTATTCTGACGTACCTACATAAGAGTAGAGTATTATACTATTCTGATTTATTATTACTAATGTTCCCTCAGTAGCCGAACTAGGTCCGTTTTTAATTAAGAGGTCGCCTTTCGTCAACTTTTCCACTCGCACAGGACCATATTATAAAAAAAATTTTTAAATGATAAGAAGCATTTTTTTAATTTTATTAATTGGCAAAATATAAATAAGTTATTATTAAAAACACATTTTTTAATATGGCTTAATTATATTTGTATGCTGAGTGTAATAGATAAACACAAAAAGTTTTTTTTTAATGATTACTTTTTAAATTAATACTATATTATAGTTCGTCTATTGATTACATTAAAAAAACGCATTTTTAAATTTCAATTTCTTCTTAAATATGACTGTGCGAACGCGAATAGTGTCAAATGGGATAGCCCTTATAATTAAAAAAGAAACAGTAACAGAAACAAAATTCTGTGATAAATGGTAATAATTACGGTATCTGTACTAATTGTAAACTGTAAACACATATTTGTTAAATTCGTTATATTTCTTTTATGAATGACCTACTTTGGTTAGTACCTACTGTTTTTTGTAAGCACAGTATTTTGTTAAAGGCTTTAATTCTACTGTGTTGTGTTATTTTGGTGTTTAGTTTCGCAAACATGCAAGCTATGCATAGTCTAAGATTCGTTTTTGTAAATAAGTAATTGATAATATTTTAAAATGGATTTTACTTGAACCTATTTCCAAGTGAACATTGACCTTTATATTACTCCAGTACGTTATTGTGTTATCTTGTGTTATATCTTCCAGTGCGTTATTAACACTTTTTTACGACCTTACACACACATATATATATGGAGTACCGGCCTGGTAATTAGACATGCGGGACATCGATAAATGCAGGGGTCGTGCTTCGTGACCGGAAGCCTATGTTCAGCATTGAACTTGTGATGGGCTGTAATGATGATGATGATGATAATAATAATTACTAATATTGATGTTCTAAAAAATTATTCACCTTTTCACTTTCCATAATTTAGAACTGAATCATCGCCACCGAAAGAAGAAATCACAAAGGACTTAAACATAGAACAAGCGCCGCAAGTGATCAAAAGTATTCAAGAAATTACTGTAGGTGAAGATCAAGTGGACTATGGCACTGAAGAAAAAGACCTTGAAACTGAAGATAACGATGTAAATGACGTCATGGAACCACAAGAACCAATTCAAATTGAAGATGGAACAGAACTATTGCCCGAGAAACCATCACAAATAAAAGGTAAAAATATGTTTTGTATATCTACATACTATTGTGTCTTTACCTATAAAATTGCCGTTTTTTATGAAATAAGTTAACGTATTTTTTTCTATATTATTTATTTCTACTAATCAAAGTAATCACCCATGCAATCGATGCGTCTTTGCCAATACAGTGGCAGTTTATTTATGCCTTTCTTCAAGAAATCAGCTGGACGGAGCCAACAAATTCTTTAAAGGCATTTTGTACTGCCTCTCGGGTTTTGAATTCTTTTACCGCCAAAGTTATCCAAATTCTGAAAAAAGTAGAAGCCTGTAAGCGCAAGGTCTGGTGAGTACCGCGAATGACGAATAGCTTCCAACCCCGGCTCTTGTAACTTGGAGACCGTCTGTTGTGCAGTATGAGGTACTGGAAAGGTAAAAAGTAGGACTATCTTATCTACAAAAAGAAATGAGATGCCATCAAAAACATAACTTGTAAAAAAAACCAAGTCTCGCAACTCAGTTCTTCTACTGTAAAAAGTTGCGAGATCCATGTAATACCAAGTCGGTTAATTTATTCAGTTCTTACTTAAGGGTCCCTCTGTTTTAATTTATTACGTAATTAGCTAACCTAACAACATTTTATAGTGACCATATCAATGTTAAAAATCTTTTATGTTTTAAATATATAAATTGACTTGGCAATCGCACTAAGCAATCTAATTTAATATAATATATATTACTGGTGAGATACATTGTGTTTTCATGCGTTGGTTGGCCGGTGCGTTCGTTTATAGTATTCGCTTCGTAAACATCGTATTTCATAATTACTCGAATTTTTAACTTATTCATGGTGACGAAAAAGATCCAAATGCGAAGGAAACAAAACGCTAATTAATATAAACAAACTACTAGTTTAAAAAAAAAGAATTCCATGTTAAATATATGTATATATTTAGATTTGAAGTGGCCAATAGTGCTGCAGAAACCAGTCATCAAGAAAAACCTATTAATAATAATTATATAGAAATTATGTTATTTTATAAATGACAAAACAAGTTCTTTTGGTATTCAATTCGAATGTTTTTCATTTTAATTCACACATTATGGTGTATTTTCTGTGGTTTTCATAGTCCTGTTTGTGTTGTATTATTTAAATGTAGACTGTTTAATTTTCCCAGGAGATCAACTCGAGCACAGTTCGTCAGATTCGGAACAGGAGACATCCAAGCATCAGAAACCTCGTCGTTATTCCACATTCCGAAAAACCTTGCGGCTATCTTCAGAACAAATTGTAATTGTTTTCTCTACCACATACAGTATATATATTATTGTAAAATCAAATATATTTATAGTCAAACTTAGAAAAATGAGATGTAAGACACGAGACAACGCTAACATTTAAACTTCTTTGAATTGAATTTGTGTCGATTGGTGATAGTATTTGACAGTCATTATTTTGGCGCTAAAATTTTTACTTTACTTTATATATGCGATTAAGACAGTGGTATTTTGTTAATAAGTAACTACTTACATTACTGTTCAGAAAAAGTTGAACCTGCGTGAGGGCATGAATGAGATGGTGTTCAGTGTGACGACGGCGTACCAAGGCACCACGCGCTGCAAATGCAACGTGTTCCGCTGGAGACACGACGATAAGGTCGTCATTTCGGACATCGACGGCACCATCACCAAGTAATCCCTCCTTTAACTTAACATTATACTTTTAATAAATTTATTCTGCTTCAAATGTGCAAGGTGTTTGATGGAACATTCCCATCTGTGAACTGTTCATGGGCTGCTTTAGCAAAGGAAATGTTTTTGCACAGACTATAACGTACGATCACCGACATTTTGCATTAAAATGTTTACAATTATATATATATATATATATATATATATATATATATATATATATATATATATATATATATATCACAATCTAAATTAATGAAATTTTTTTCATGATATACAAATTTGTTCAGAGGGCGTTAACTTGCAAACGCTCTTCGGGTGATCTGACGATCAGTCATGAACCAATCCAAAATGACACAATAAAACACAAACCAAATATGAAAATGAAAAAAAAATCATCCTTATCATCATTATAACCACTAATCGCTGTTATATAGCTATTTAGCTCTGAGTCAGATGTAGCTGTAAAAATCGAATAGGGTAACATCACTAACATACAGAACATAGAAAAGTTTGTAAAATAAATATGTTTCAAACTAATTTAAGCTTTATATATATTAAATAAAGGACAGTGAAGTAACAGTTGATCGAATTATTAAGTGTCTACTTATGACACCATTACAGATATCAATAAAATAATTTACTATGCACCAATTAAGGCAGGCAAAGGTCTTAAAACATACATCCTACTCTGATCTGAATTTTGTTAAAATAATTCGTGACTTCAGTGACAGTATGACTGAATAAAAATATGTACAGGATTTCAAACCCTCTATTTTTACATATTTTACATTTGTAGACGCAATAAAAAATGTCAACAAAATTTGTTTGGGAGTTCGAATGTCTTTTTAGTCCGCATTGCGAAAGTATGCCTTAACGCGCATAATTATATTATAAGCAAACAATGAATATAAAAATAGCAAATGTATGTAATCTAATTTAGTTTAAATCGTACAGGTCCGATGTCCTTGGTCACATTTTTCCACTGGTAGGGAAAGATTGGGCTCAGTCTGGAGTGGCGCAACTTTTCACTAAGATAAAGAACAACGGCTACCAACTACTCTATCTTTCTGCTAGAGCTATTGGCCAGGCTCGGGTAAGTGAATCTGTTTCATGATTTTTACCACGTTTTTAGTAAGTGATATTTTGAATAAAGCTCAAATCCGGATGACAATGCAAGAATATGATAAAAAAGTGGTGTATTAAAATTGTTAATAATACAAAATTTTTAACTAAAAAAAATCACTTTAAAATTATTAGATCAGTAAATATATTTTCCTAATATTGAAGATTTTATAATGAAAATGAAATTAAAATTATTATGAATTTTTTTATATTGAATTTAGTCTTTTAAACGTTACTCATTTCTTTAAATCATACGAATATTGTAAAATGTTTGGATGTTCGTTACTCAGTCACACATACTCGTAGATAACTAAATAGATTTGGACGAAATCTGACACAGAGGTTGACGACATCCTGAATTAATTCATGCAATAAAGCTACCGTGGGAAAACTTTAAAAGTAAATTCCGAAAACATTTTAAAATCACTGAGGTTATTAATATTTTTTTTAATTATCTTGATAATTTATGTATATTCCTAAGGAACGATTTTTCAATCCTCAGATAGAATTATTTCTGGGAACGAACATAAACAAATTAAAAATTACAGTTTTTAAATAAAATAGTTCCATTGTTTCACTTTTATAATCAGATCATAATTTATTAGATTGATAACTTTAATCGGGCGATTAAAAAATCGGCCCTAACTTGATAATTAATTTTTCATAGTATATAGTTGGAGGCATATCAATTTTAATTAAATCTGATAATAATTTAAGGCCGGTTTATTTAAATACCTCGTATTATCGTGGTTGCCTCAGATCATAAAACATTGTTTTTACTATCGGTAGTGGTTTGCAGAATTACACGTGTGTTAATTAACTAGAAGGGTTGTCAAATTTTCTATAAAAATAAATATAGTGTTTTTGACGCTACTACCTATAAAGATGTTTTAAATGAATATTTAATTTTATAGGAACATTTATTGTTGTTTTGAGCTTATATTAAAAGAATCATGCTAATAAAATATAATACTTTCGCTTATTACATATTTCTTAAATAAATATTCGGACTCAATATAGTAGGATACCCGAAAAACAAGCCAAAAGCATGTTCAACTTATAGGGACCCACAATTACGTGCACATATGCATCTAAACATACGCAACTCACAACATAATTTGAGATGCGTATGTGTGCGTAATTGCGTGTGAAGACGTTGATTATGGTTTCGGCATCACTTGAAATTACGCATCACTTCGTCTAACTTTCTTTGGTTTTGTTTTAAAGATTAAGGGTGACAAACGAGCACACAGTCCACTTGATGGCAAGTGGATGATTTGCCCATCTACATCTACGATTAAGAATAAAAGGCAGATGCTTTTTAACCCTTGAAAACTAGGATGGAATGCCTTGTTTCCAATAAGAAGACTCTTCGGTTCTCTACAATCACCATACGAAACACAACAGCATTAAGCTGCTATTTTAATAATGATTTTGATCAAAATATAAAAAAAATTAAGACTTATTATGCTTTGGTAGAAATTTTAAGTGTGACGCCCTAGAGATATTCTAATAAAATTTACAGGATAAACAGATGATGAAATTGTCATGTTATAAAAATCCTAATTTTCTCAGTGACTGTTTCTCGTTCTCGAATATTTTAAGAGTTTAGAATTTTAATTTATTTTGGAGTTTATCATATTCTTATATATGTGTGGTGAATGGTGTCTTTTGATTTTGTATATGCCAGTAGGTATAGCCCACTTTTCACCTTCCATTATTCATGTTCGTAGAAACATGAATGATGCAGATGCATGCATCATACTCTAAACTCCAAAATCGCGCAACATATGCGGGTTTATTCGGGTACCTTATGGGTGCTTTACCTCTGGACTCAAGCTGGATAGTATAATATATAATAAAAATATGTAAATAAGTATAAATAAAGTATTTGTTGTTTATTTTCATCATTTTTAATCCTATACAAAGATCATTTGTGTATGAATAATATAAGTAATTTTTACAATAATTCCAATATAGTCACACCATTCTTCTGGTATTTTGTGAGAGCATTTTCCTTCCTCGGTCAAGCCGACTCTATTGCAGCGTGGCTTTAACACGTATGTTAGTCTGAGAGTAGGATTCTATTATTATACTACAGTAAAGTTGGCGAGCCAACAGATCTTGGTTGTGGCCTTTGCGCATCGGACAAGGGGCGTCCGTAGCGCGGGTGAAGTTGAAGGCCGCGGAGGAAGGCACGCCATGTGTTCATTTTTATGGATTAAAACTGACAAACGAGCATTTAGTAGACCTGATGACAAGGGCGTGCTGTGGCCCACAGACAACCACATTTATTCTAAATTAAGCATCAAAATGCAGATGCCTTGTCACCAAGAAAGACTGAGATGGAATGCCTCGTTTCCAGTAAAATGAATTTCTAGTTCTGTACATTCACCATATGAGATATATCAGCATTATTCTGCTATTTTACGCTGGTATTCTGTGAGAGCGTAGTCCTACCCCGGTCGAGCCGACCCATTCGGGTTACAACCATAATATAGTTGCAGCGTGGTTCTGCGACATAAAAATGTTTTGTGGTTATCTTCTCCCGAGGACTCTCCACAAGCGCGGGCCGTCGTGAAGCGGCCGGCGCTAGTGGGGCCGTGGATATGTGCGAAAGCGTTCCCGTGGCCCAGCCAGTACGCGGCAAAGGTGGAACACCATGGGGTTCTAATCCGTGCGAGTCCGACATAACACGTCCTTGCCCCCGCGAGGCAGGCATGCGTAGGCTTTTCCCTATTTAAAAGAGAAGGATTGTATTATTATAGTATAGTAGAGCTGGCTCGGTTGGCTCGGCAGGTGACGCGCGAGTACCTGCGCTCGATCCGGCAGGGCGAGCTGTGCCTGCCGGACGGGCCGCTGCTGCTCAACCCCACGTCGCTGCTGCGCGCCTTCCACCGCGAGGTCATCGAGAAGAAGCCCGAGGAGTTCAAGATACAGTGCCTCGCCGACATCAAGGCCTTGTTTCCGCACGGCTCCAACCCCTTCTACGCGGGATACGGGAATAGAGTGAACGTAAGTCTTGTTGTTCGCTGCTTTCTTTGAAATATTAATATATATAATGCAAATTGCTAGTTGTAATTTTTGTGCGATCGTAACCAGTAATATTATATAAAACCTTCAAGCTTTGATTGAAAATCTTGTAGATTTTGTAGGATCAAAATAATAATAAATCAATTATATCTATGCGACCATTACTTTTAATGATTTGTTTAAATGTTTATTGTATTGTACTTTTGAAAATTCTACAATGATATTAATATTTTAACCACTCTTGATATCCGTCAGTCTATGGACCTATTAGTCTGACCTATGGTCAAGCCAAAGAGTATAGTAGGATTGGCCAAAGACAATTTTTTTAAATGAAGGTAAATATAACTTAGAGTCATTACCATGTTCTTATCCAAAAATAAAAATTATCAACAATTAAAATATCGAATTATTTGTATGAAGGTCACGTGAGCGTTAGAGAAATGATTGTAAGACGTTGTTGACAAATAAAATGTTTAATGAAATAGTATAGTAAAAATAGAATTTGACATTGCACGAAATTTCCGATTCAATTTTATTTTTTATATGAGGGGACACTTTCAGCATAAAATCATAAAATGCCGACAGATCCAGGTGGAGCTTCAAGCGCAATCTTGAAAAAACGTTTTCAGCCGATATCTCGGTAACTATACACTGTAAGGCAAAAGTTATACAAACCATTATTGTAGAAAATAAAATTTCGCATCTTTTGTTTCCAGTAAATTTCTTTGTAAAACTTACCGTTTACGATTTATGGCCCATTTAATGAACAGGTGGCGCTTCAAGCGCAATCTTGAAAAAACGTTTTCAGCCGATATCTCGGAAACAATGCACTTTAAGGCAAAGGTTGTACAAACAATTATTGTAGAAAATAAAATTTCGCATCTTTTGTTTCCAGTAAATTTTTTGTAAAACTTACCGTTTACGATTTATGGCCCATTTAATGAACAGGTGGCGCTTCAAGCGCCATCTTGAAAAAACGTTTTCAGCCGATATCTCGGAAACAATGCACTTTAAGGCAAAAGTTATACAAACAATTATTGTAGAAAATAAAATTTCGCATCTTTTGTTTCCAGCAAATTTTTTTGTAAAACTTACCGTTTACGATTTATGGCCCATTTAATGAACAGGTGGCGCTTCAAGCGCCATCTTGAAAAAACGTTTTCAGCCGATATCTCGGAAACAATGCACTTTAAGGCAAAAGTTATACAAACAATTATTGTAGAAAATAAAATTTCGCATCTTTTGTTTCCAGCAAACTTTTTTGTAAAACTTACCGTTTACGATTTATGGCCCATTTAATGAACCGGTTTTTCTATCGCGGCCAATAACTCTTGAAATATTAGATTAATCAATAAAATGCATAAATTTATTTTGAAAGATCAGTTTATTTTCCAAAACTTTTGTTTGAAACTTTTTTTTCTAACATTCATACTTTTTGAGTTATAGGACGTTTCATGTCACGCATAGCTGCCAGCGTCACCCGCCGAGCTCGGCCGACGCTCGGCAGGTAACGCGGCAGCTACTTTATGATTAAGAACCCGGATTTTATTGTTATTATTTCGGGGAATTCCAAGTAAGACGTCATTATTGTTTACTAACTACGACTTACGGAGCCTCATTTTTGAAATTCAAGTTATAGAGTATAAATATCTATTATCAATATTTCGTAGAGAAATAACATTTTCTTCGAGTTACAAAGTCTAATAATTCGAGACACCGCGTATTTAGGGGTTCAGCGGAAGGGAATGGCAATTTTTTTCGACTTACTGAGGATTTCAACTTAACGAGGTTCGAGTTATAGAGATTCCACTGAATATCATAACACGCATATAATTTTTTAAGTAGAGCGTGTCTATGTTCAGCAACTTAATATTACCAAGTTTTTAAGTTTATATGTGAACTATATAATAATATAATTATTTTTAAATGTTATTTATAATCTTATCTATGGTTTCGAGTAAACTTAGTGATCATATACTCTTTGGTTCTAAGGCGTCCCTCTAAATATTAGTATACTCTTTGGCGCGGTCTAACAAGGAGACATTGACGTCTCCATATGGTGTTTGTCCCCGGCGGCGTTGTTCGTTTTAGGTTGGGTGCCCTGGGGTCTCTGAATAATCGAACCTGAATATCATACATATTATAATACTTAATATTTAGTGATAGAATAAATTCGAACGGTAACAGATCAATAAGCGCCCTTATTTCTTTGTTACAAAATAATTTTATTAACCTTCTTTGCTTGCTTATAGACGTTTAAAATAAAATAACTCTTATTTCTAATTACCTCTTCTTAACACGATTCCAATATATATACTATTTTATCCACAGGATGTTTGCGCGTACCAAGCTGTCGGCATTCCGATTGTAAGAATTTTCACTATCAACTACAAGGGCGAATTGAAACACGAATTGACGCAAACATTCCAGTCGACGTAAGTACCATATTCACATAATATTGACCATCAATTAGCACCGCTGTCCATGTCCAAATCCATATCGCACGCCTTTTTTTACCTAACAGATTTATATGTACAATGTAATAAGTGAGTTGTTTCTATTTCAGTTACCACGTGCAAAGTGACATGGTCGATGATTTTTTCCCGCCACTGAAACGTGATAACGTTAGAAAAAGCTCGCGGGGAATTAACATTTAATGTAGATTTAACTTTGTATAAAAACGATTGGATTAGAGAGCGCGACACGTTGCCGGTAAGATGTGCGGCATGATCCTAGGGGCTTCTCACTTTATACCGCGCAGTCATCTCAAATTCATGAAGCTAAAAAATAACTTTCTCACAAAAATAATAATTTCAACTAATAACGGTCAGTAATCATCGACTTGTCATCTGTTCTGTCTGTATATGTTATTGAAAAGATATTGTTTACGAATTGGTTGGTTTTGATCTTATACTTTATTATTTGAAATAAGAGAGTAGACAGTTCTTTTCGTCATAAACTTAAAATAAAATAACCTTTATTTCTAATTAATTCTTCTCTTTATAAGACCAAAGTTCACAATTCACATCGTAATTATTCATTTATTAGTAAAAAAATGAGTACGGTGTGTGACTTTCAAGACTTCACTGTAACATATTTATTCTTTACTAATTATTAGTTTTTTAAGTTTACTATTGAAAGGTGGTGGACGGTCAAAGGTAACCATTTGACATTACCAACAACATGCATGAATTCGCATCTTTAACCTTTTGAGTTTTGTACATCCATCATATATATATATATACACAACGTGTCCCAAAATTCAACGATAAGCCAACACCGGAGGATAGACCTGCCCCGGACTAATCAGGGAAAAAAAGAAAAAAAATATTTCCCAATTATATTTTAAGTTATATAAAAAAATGAAATTCTTCAGAAATTGAGACCGTTTATGATATTTTTCACTACCATGACCACAATTTTTTTAATATTTGTTTCTTTTTTTTTATATAGGCAACCTGAATAGCACTGCTATCTACCACAATTCTTAAAAAATCTAGAATAACTCTTGTTTTATCACGAAAATTAATGAAACTTTTTTTATTCCCTAAATTTTTTGAAGATTTTTACTTTTAATCAATTTTAACTTATCGTGGTGTAAAAAAAGTATGAACACTCCGACGGGCACGGAGGTGTGGCTTGAAGGCCGTGCATTGTCTAACGATGGTCTAACGTCGTTTCTTTTCCTCAGTCTTCGACACGGTGTTTGTGTATAAAGTGTTTTGAACAAAGTGCATTTATTATTAATGAAGAAAGTCACGAAAAAATAGTGAAAGAAAATGAGTGAGTACTCTATATACATACCTACATTTTATTATTATCACAAATGCAGTACTAATTTTGAATTGAAAATATAATACTGCTATAAAGATAACCTAAATTTTTGATATTAAAATGAGCGATATTAAAAGTAGCCCTCTTTATATACACACAAACACACACACGCGTATAGTTTAAATTCTCAATTTGGATTCTCAATATGTATATATATACTCGATTAACCGGACTAATTGTTGCCGTTAGGGATTCGGATAATCGAAAATCCGGATGATCGAATGTATGAAGAAAAGCGGGTTTTGTGCATTTGTAGTACATATGTACATACATAATGTTATGTGTTTATTAAAAACAACAATTTCAACGAAAATCAATGTTTATCAAGAAATTATTATTTTTTAATAAACATTGATTAAATTCCATGAAGAGATATAAATCTATATAACCATCCGTTACTTGCGACAAACGAGCCGCCGTCACCTAATTTTTTATTTAACTGTAATGCTTTTTCACAAAGCAAAGGGCCAGATATCATTTGCCCAGTTGATCGTTTTTGTAAAAACCAACAATACAAAGCGTCTTCTAATTGCCAATTTACTCGCGGACATAGGTCCTTATGTCCGGGACGGGGGTTTGTTAGCGCCTGATAGTAGATCGTCTTATCTCAAGCGGTGTGAAGCGACGATTAGTGAGGTGCGGGAGGGGGGAGGCTAGCTGCATTTGTGCGCGCGGTCGGTCACCCCTAAAGTTGGGCGTTATAATATACAACAGATAATATATTTTTAATCTTACAACACATTAGAATAATGAACCATTGACTGTTATAATATTATATTCATTATCGTTAGAAAGCGTCATCTGTTTACGTTTACGGTCCAACCGTCGCGTCGGCCGAGACAATGGGAGTCAATAAAATACTACCTACATTCATTATGCCACAAGGATTGCGTATAGCTTACACTAATTTAAACTCTAAGCTAACTTAATAAGAGCTTATTTTACTAACACAAACGCGAAGCCGGGTTGTTCATATATTGAAAGTCTCCTTGTTTTGTCTTAGACTTATGTTAATAGAGCGTGCCATTTGAACTTAAAGACAATTAATTGGACAATAAATAATAAGTGACAAATCTTGCCGTGGAGCGTGGAACTGAGTAGTTGCGCGTCTTGTTAATATAATTGCCGTACGGCCGCCCTGACGTATGTACTGCGCGAACCTGAGTTTTTTGCGACGCGGTCCGGTGATACAGTATTTTTCACAAATAGTGAGTTCGTTATAACGCGGGTTCGGTTAAATCTGGTTGAATTTGATTGGATTAACCTAAGTAACTTGAATTAATATCAAAGAAAAAGAAATACTGCATAAATAAAATAAATAAATAATTATAATTGCGTAAGTTGATACAAAATGCTATGCAATAGCTTTACCGCGGCAGTCCCCGAGTGCCACACGTCTTTTATTGATTTAACCAAATTTAACTTATCGTGGTGTAAAAAAAAGTATGAACACTAGTATGGCAAGTTTTTTTAAAAATTGACGCAACTAACCAACATTCCAAAATGGTATAATACTCTAGGAAAACAAGTTATAAAAAAATATGGGTCTATTATTTCTTAACAGGGGCCAAATTCCTTAAATTGTAATTGTCAGTAATCACTTTTACTACATGCCCAAAATGGGTTCTTGTTACAATTTCTAGGAATTTTAATGGGGCATACATACCCTAGATGTTAGAGAGAGATAGATAGAGATATTTACGTTAAAAAGAGACAACAACAGGGCAGGTAGAGAAGCTGTTATTATTCTCAGCAGGTCAGTTCAGTACGCTCTGCTCCTTTGTTTACTGCGCACCGTTCCCAATTCAACTTACGTGGCTCTCGTACATACTATCGCCTTTTGGCTTGGCTTTTTGGACTGGAATCGACCTGCAAACTTAACTACCATAGAAGAAGCTACAGGAATCCCGAAAAGTCCAAATAATGCCAGGTCAGTTCAGTTTGCAGGTCGATTCCAGTCCAAAAAGCCAAGCCAAAAGGCGATAGTATGTATGAGAGCCACATAAGTTCAATTGGGAATGGTGCGCAGTAAACAAAGGAGCAGAGCGTACTGAACTGACCTGCTGAGAATAATAACAGCTTCTCTACCTGCCCTGTTGTTGTCTCTTTTTAACGTAAATATCTCTATCTATCTCTCTCTAACATCTAGGGTATGTATGCCCCATTAAAATTCCTAGAAATTGTAACAAGAACCCATTTTGGGCATGTAGTAAAAGTGATTACTGACAATTACAATTTAAGGAATTTGGCCCCTGTTAAGAAATTATAGACCCATATTTTTTTATAACTTGTTTTCCTAGAGTATTATACCATTTTGGAATGTTGGTTAGTTGCGTCAATTTTTAAAAAAACTTGCCATACTAGTGTTCATACTTTTTTTTACACCACGATAAGTTAAATTTGGTTAAATCAATAAAAGACGTGTGGCACTCGGGGACTGCCGCGGTAAAGCTATTGCATAGCATTTTGTATCAACTTACGCAATTATAATTATTTATTTATTTTATTTATGCAGTATTTCTTTTTCTTTGATATTAATTCAAGTTACTTAGGTTAATCCAATCAAATTCAACCAGATTTAACCGAACCCGCGTTATAACGAACTCACTATTTGTGAAAAATACTGTATCACCGGACCGCGTCGCAAAAAACTCAGGTTCGCGCAGTACATACGTCAGGGCGGCCGTACGGCAATTATATTAACAAGACGCGCAACTACTCAGTTCCACGCTCCACGGCAAGATTTGTCACTTATTATTTATTGTCCAATTAATTGTCTTTAAGTTCAAATGGCACGCTCTATTAACATAAGTCTAAGACAAAACAAGGAGACTTTCAATATATGAACAACCCGGCTTCGCGTTTGTGTTAGTAAAATAAGCTCTTATTAAGTTAGCTTAGAGTTTAAATTAGTGTAAGCTATACGCAATCCTTGTGGCATAATGAATGTAGGTAGTATTTTATTGACTCCCATTGTCTCGGCCGACGCGACGGTTGGACCGTAAACGTAAACAGATGACGCTTTCTAACGATAATGAATATAATATTATAACAGTCAATGGTTCATTATTCTAATGTGTTGTAAGATTAAAAATATATTATGAAATATATTATCTGTTGTATATTATAACGCCCAACTTTAGGGGTGACCGACCGCGCGCACAAATGCAGCTAGCCTCCCCCTCCCGCACCTCACTAATCGTCGCTTCACACCGCTTGAGATAAGACGATCTACTATCAGGCGCTAACAAACCCCCGTCCCGGACATAAGGACCTATGTCCGCGAGTAAATTGGCAATTAGAAGACGCTTTGTATTGTTGGTTTTTACAAAAACGATCAACTGGGCAAATGATATCTGGCCCTTTGCTTTGTGAAAAAGCATTACAGTTAAATAAAAAATTAGGTGACGGCGGCTCGTTTGTCGCAAGTAACGGATGGTTATATAGATTTATATCTCTTCATGGAATTTAATCAATGTTTATTAAAAAATAATAATTTCTTGATAAACATTGATTTTCGTTGAAATTGTTGTTTTTAATAAACACATAACATTATGTATGTACATATGTACTACAAATGCACAAAACCCGCTTTTTCTTC